GATGGTAGCACCCAGCCATTTTCTCTATTGAAATTAGGATGTTTTTTGATTTCAATAGCCTCGCGAATCATCCTTGGAAGGAATCGGTGTTCTTTAGCGAGGATCTGCGGTCTATCAAATCTGATGTAGTGACCATGCGTGCTGTAAAGCGTTCGAAACGTCGGGTATTTAAGTTAAAATATACGCGATAAATTCCGTAAAAACTAGTATTATTTCAATGTTAGGTAGGCCCTGTCAGCCCTATTTTGTTTATATTATTTATATAAATTCAAAAAAGCCTTATAATTGAGCTTTGAGGACAGCCGTACGATACGTTTTTTTATATTATATTTATATAATTTTATAATATATATTTAAAGACTACTTTTCTATGAAAACTTTTTATAGAAAAGAACTCTCTAAATATAATTTTTTATGGGTTTTAAGTGCTGTGGGTGGGTGCGGTCACATGCGACCGCTCGGTATTTGCATGGCGCATGCGACTGCATGGGAATTTTTTGGGGATTGAAGGGTTAATAATAAAGTCAGTTTTGATTTAACGTGATCAATATGCATTTTCCAAGTGAGTTTATCGTCTTCCAATCGTGGTTCTACCATGTATGAAAACATGGAATGACGAACTAGTATGACGGAAAAACTACTAAAAGTAAGTTAATAAAAGATACTGGATTGAGATGTAAATCAAAAAAAATTATTCTTGGCGCGACACTGTTAATAAAAAAGAAACTTAATTTAAAAACCCTATTATTTACAAAGCAGCACTTATTTTTTTCATTACACATACAGAAAATTTTTTTGTATGGCCTACAAGAATAGTTAACAAATACATAAATTCCAAAAGGAAAAAAGATATTTGTCCTTTTGGAATTTATGTATGTAAATTGATTTTACTATACAGAAAAAAATCTGGTGTTACCTTTATAGCCTATTAAAATCCACTACTGAACATAGACCTCCCACGTAGATTACCTCTTAGGGGTATTTTGCCTTAATTTCAATTATTTTTTTATATTTTCACACTTTAGAGTGTCGCGACCAACGGCCCCCTGCTTTATATTGTGGTTGTCGCCACTCGTCTACCACAATATTTGAGGTTCACACAGTTTTGTTTTCTTAAATAAATGTTGGAAAGCCGGTGTTTCTATGATTTGTTCTAATTTTTGATGAATTGGTGTTTCAGAAAACCGAATATCGATATTAAATTTTGTTGATATTTCTGTGCTCAATTTCCATGTTTTGTTACCATTGATAAATATCTTGCATCCCCAGGCTCCCACTCCATTTATTTATTTCTTAAAAGCAATGCTGTAGTTTTTCTACACATCGTTGAACAAAGTTAACGCCTATATGTGGCCGATTTCGAAATTTAAATTAAACATTAAACTCCTCTTTGATTTTTACGTCCGGCCAGTTTACCGGCTCATAGCCCAACGGATTAGCCGAAGCTGAAGTCTCAATGGGCCGGCCATATAAATCGAAGAACCGACAACCGATGAGGAGAAAGTGTGCATGTTGTTTAAGTTATCTTAAATTCTAATTCGCCGTGTAGTGGCGGTTAAGAATATCCACTACCCCATATCTTCCCGTGGCTGTCGTAAAAGGCGACAGAGGGAAACAGGAAGGAGATGGGCAGCAGCATCTTCCTGATAACAGTAACTGTACGATCAAAAAAACCTGCGGTTGCCAACCCGCTCGCCAAACGTGGCAATTATGGCAATATGCCCCCCGTGAGCAACGACATAAATAGACGGGCCCCAGTCCCCGGCGGCACCACTGTTCCTGGCTACGGTGGCGACTATGGTAACGGCGGGGCAGGAGGTGCTAAGAATCTCCGGTGGAGGTTCGGTTGCCACCTACGACGACTCGACCTGGCAACATTTAACGCACGCACCCTGAGGACTGACGAGAAGATCCTGGAGCTGGAAGAAGAGATAGACAAGTTGCGCTGGAATATTATAGGATTATCCGAGGTCCGAAGAGAGGGGGAGAACACGGTGATTCTCGAATCCGGCAACTTGTTCTATCACCGGGAGGGCGACCATCTGTCCCAAGGAGGTGTCGGATTTATCGTCCACAAGTCTCTCGTCAACAAAGTTGTAAAGATTGAGAGTGTTTCGACGAGGGTCGCGTACCTGATACTCAGAATCACCAAACGGTATTCCCTGAAGGTCACACAGGTTTACGCACCTACTTCGGCACATCCCGATGCGGAGGTGGAGGAAATGTATGAGGATATTTCCAAAGCCATGCATTCCTCCAAAACCCACTACACGGTGTTGATGGGAGACTTCAATGCAAAACTAGGCACAAGAGAAAACGGTGAGCTGAAGTTAGGGAAATTTGGAGTAGGGCAACGGAACCGAAGGGGCCAGCAGCTGGCCGACTTTATGGAGAAAGAGGGACTCTTTATGATGAACTCTTTCTTCCAGAAGTGGCCCCACAGGAAGTGGACCTGGTCGAGCCCCGAGGGTTCGACAAAAAATGAGATTGACTTCATTATGAAGACCAGACGCCAATGGTTCAGTGATGTCTCAGTGATCGCAAGGCTGAAAACTGGCAGCGATCACCGAATGGTTAGAGGCTCACTGAACCTAAACATTAAGTTGGAGAGGTCTTGTCTAATGAAGTCAACGCTCCGTCCTTCTCGTGCTCTCATCCCGAATCCTGAAACATTTCAGCTCGAGTTACGTAACCGCTTTCAGTGCCTAGAAGATTGCAATGCAGAGGACAATATGAATGACAAGCTCGTGGAAACTGTTCATGCGGTTGGAGCTAAGTTCTGCAAGACCCGCCGCAGAAGAGCGCAAAAACTCTCCGATCACACTCTTAATCTCAAGGCTGTTAGACGGGAGATGAGGCCGCAATCGTCAACAGATTTGACAGCATACAGGTAACTGAACAGACAGATCTCCAAATGCATGCGGCGAGACTTACGCAACTTTAATACTGCTCGTATTAAAGAATCGATCGAGGGGAACCAGGGCTCCAAAGTCTTTGCCAGAGATCTGTCTGCCAGTAAGAGCCAACTGTCAAAACTGAAGACTGAGTGTGGCAGCATCGTTTCCGGGACACCTGAGATTTTGAGTGAGATTGAGAGGTTCTATGGGCAGCTGTACACATCATCGTTGGAGCCACACGCAAGTGTGAGTAACGATCTAAGAGCAAGTCTTATCCGACACTATTCCGATGATATCCCGGACGTCAGCCTAAGCGAGATTAGAATGGCTCTCCAGCACCTTAAAAACGGCAGGGCCCCAGGCGAGGATGGAATTACAGCGGAGCTTCTGAAAGCGGTTGGAACACCGGTACTTGAAGTCCTTCGGAAGCTCTTCAACTCCGTCCTCCATGGTGGCACTACTCCAGAGGCGTGGAGCAGAAGTGCGGTGGTCTTGTTCTTTAAGAAAGGCGACAACGCTCTATTGAAGAACTACAGACCGATTTCCCTTCTGAGCCGCGTCTACGTGCTGTTTTCGAGAGTCATTACGAATCGTCTCGCACGCAGACTCGACGACTTCCAGCCTCCCGAACAAGCCGGTTTCCAAAAAGGCTTCAGTACCATAGACCAAATACATACCCTGCGGCAGATTGTACAGAAGACCGAAGAGTACAATCTGCCACTTTGCCTGGCGTATGTGGACTATGAGAAAGCCTTTGATTCCGTCGAAATTTGGGCAGTGCTACAGTCCCTTCAGCGGTGCCAAGTTGACTGTCGGTATATCGAAGTGCTGAAGTGTTTGTACAGTAGGGCTACGATGGCTATCCGAGTACAGAACCAGAGCTCGAAACCTATCAAACTGCAGAGAGGTGTAAGACAGGGTGACGTTATATCCCCGAAACTCTTCACCGCTGCATTAGAAGATGTTTTCAAGCTACTGGACTGGAAAGGATACGGTATTAACATCAATGGCGAGTACATCACTCACTTTCGATGTGCCGACGATATAGTCCTTATGGCAGAATCGCTGGAGGACTTAAGCACTATGCTCAATGATCTCAATGGTGTCTCCCAACGGATAGGTCTTAAGATGAACATGGACAAAACAAAGATCAAGTTTAATGTCCATGTCACACCTATGTCGGTAGTTGTTGGGAGCACTATGCTCGAAGTTGTTGACGAGTACGTTTACCTGGGACAAATAGTCCGACTAGGTAAGTCCAACTTCGACCGAGAGGTCAATCGACGGATTCAACTCGGCTGGGCAGCGTTCGGGAAATTACGACATATCTTCTCGTCAGGTATACCTCAATCTCTAAAAACTAGATTGTATAACCAGTGCGTGTTGCCAGTGATGACTTATGGATCTGAGACGTGGTCCTTCACTGCTGGCCGTATGAGGACGCTCAAGGTCGCTCAGCGAGCTATGGAGAGGGCTATGCTCGGAGTTTCTCTGCGTGATAGACTCAGAAATGAGGATATCCGCAGTAAAACCAGAGTGACCGACATAGCCCAACGGATTAGTAAGCTGAAGTGGCAATGGGCCGGCCATATAGCTCGAAGAACCGATAACCGATGGAGAAGAAAGGTTCTCGAGTGGCAGCCTCGTACCGGTAGGCGTAGTGTAGGGCGACCCCCCACTAGATGGAGTGACGACCTGGTAAGATATGCAGGAAGCCGATGGATGCAGGTGGCTCAGGACCGTGCTTTGTGGCATTACTTGGGGGAGGCCTATGGTCAGCAGTGGACTTGTGAAGGGCTGTAATGATGATGGTGATGAGCTCTGGTGTCTAGATAATCTAGTTTAGTATTCGAAGCTTGGATAGCCAGCTTTTGGCTTGAGAGATTTTCCTTTTACATTTCCAACTATTTTGTCATCATTATTAAACAAAGCCCGTGTAAAAAGTAAGCTTAGTTGATTTCCTCTCAGTAAAATAACTGGATATAACTGGTTACGGTTTCAGAGCTAATGGCTGCAGTGAAATAAGTTTTAAACGTGATGTAAGGATATTAATGGCGCATATTTTCATTGTAAAACAGTTTTTTGTTGGAAATCTAAATAATTATGGTTACTGCTGTTTGGCTTCATGTTACATGTAACCGCGAACTGAACGATAGTTTACAGTTTAGTCGAATTAATTTTAATTTATTTATTCATTATTCAGGTAAATACAACCACTTTATTAATACAAGGTGTATTATAATATATAGCACAACCGGTAAAATAATCACCAGTGTTGTCTTCTGCGTAGTAATGAATGTTACTAATAAATCACAATTAATTGACATACAGAAGGTAGAGTGTAAGTGATAGCACACATCCTTTTAGACTACTACTAGAAATAATAAGATTGTATTCGGAGTATGCACAGTCTACTATGACCTTACCATACTTACAGTATTTACTCCGGAGCACCAGTCTCTAGCACAATAGGAGGGACATACATTATGCCAACTTGACTTGTTGACATCCAGGAAGAAGAGTGAGGAATGCTTGCGACTCTTAAATTCTCTATTATTTATTGAGATTATTATACGAAGTTTTACTCTGTACATAAGTGGTGTTTGCAAAGGCAAGCTCAGCGCCGCCTCGGACCTTGCGCCCGAGGCTCCAGCCTCATTAGCCTGTGGGTAAATCAGCTCCTGGCGATGTATTTAAGCTGACGTAATAATCGGCAGCTTACCTCCACCAAATCAATTACGATGATAGTAAAAAAGGCTAAATTTTATTTTTCATGTATATTATAGTAAAAAATAAAAATACAATATACATTACGACTTGATTACGATTGAGTTATTCCGGATACTTGATTCGAATAAGGGTTGCTGTTCTAGCGAATTTATATAAAAACATAAATGAGCCGAATCGATCCTCAATGCGCGATCCTCAAATATTGATTTGGCTACCACGCTTTTGCAGCGCATCACGTATGTTTGCTGAGGCACGCGTGAACAGCTTTGTAGAGAGACAGTGTCAACGGCCTCCTGGTTTCCATGTACGGAAAGTTTGTCCTGTGATGATGCACTGGAACGCGCTGCATATGGGTTTAATAATAAATAATTATTTTTTAATTTATTAATCGCTAGTTAAGGTGTATTAATAAAGTGGGTGTATTCACCTGAATAATGAATAAATAAATTAAAATTAATTCGACTAAACTGTAAACTATCGTTCAGTTCGCGGTTACATGTAACATGAAGCCAAACAGCAGTAACCATAATTATTTAGATTTCCAACAAAAAACTGTTTTACAATGAAAATATGCGCCATTAATATCCTTACATCACGTTTAAAATTTATTTCACTGCAGCCATTAGCTCTGAAACCGTAACCAGTTATATCCAGTTATTTTACTGAGAGGAAATCAACTAAGCTTACTTTTTACACGGGCTTTGTTTAATAATGATGACAAAATAGTTGGAAATGTAAAAGGAAAATCTCTCAAGCCAAAAAGCTGGCTATCCAAGCTTCGAATACTAAACTAGATTGTCTAGACACCAGAGCTCATCATCATCATCATTACATCCCTTCACAAGTCCACTGCTGACCATAGGCCTCCACCAAGTAATGCCACAAAGCACGGTCCTGAGCCACCTGCATCCATCGACTTCCTGCATATCTTACCAGGTCGTCACTCCATCTAGTGGGGGGTCGCCCTACACTACGCCTACCGGTACGAGGCTGCCACTCGAGAACCTTTCTTCTCCATCGGTTATCGGTTCTTCGAGCTATATGGCCGGCCCATTGCCACTTCAGCTTACTAATCCGTTGGGCTATGTCGGTCACTCTGGTTTTACTGCGGATATCCTCATTTCTGAGTCTATCACGCAGAGAAACTCCGAGCATAGCCCTCTCCATAGCTCGCTGAGCGACCTTGAGCGTCCTCATACATTTGAAGTCATTTGATGACGGTTTGCGCGTTTAATTCTAAAAAGAACCTCTTTGTCGTATCTCCTTAAATTCTAGGCACTCCTTATGCTGACTCAGGCAACATCGAATGACGTACAGTTCCACAAAAACTTAGAATGGAAAGCTAAATTATCCTCTAAAAAAGCTTGGCATGCAACGCAGAGCGGACAATATTTCTTACCGGCACACCGCTTCCAACTTTACAAGGCAAAAGTTTGGCCTCACGTGAAGTACTGTTCTCATCTCTTGACTAGGAAACCTCAGTGCCAACTCCTTTCACTTGAGCGCATCCATCGAAGAGTTTATGTTATTGATGATGTTGTGATACCTTTTAATAAATCTTTAAAAGACCTATGATTAATACATTGATCGGAATCTCTCTTGATCCCTGCATAAGGAGTCCAGTAGAAAAATGTTTGCGACATCATCTTACTTACGATCTTAATTATGCTGATGTATGCTATTCTAATCTTGAAGATTTATTAAATAAACTTAAGCTTCTTCAGAATTTCACTTTTAGGTTCATATTTGGCAAATATGATCGTGTTTCCGAGTTTCGTACTAAGTTCAAGTGGCTCCCTATCAGACTTCGTCGGTATACTCACATTCTATCTCTACTATATGTACTATTAGATCAAACACTAACTAACACCTTCTTAGGTGTATCTTAAAGAAAAATTTGAGTTCGCGGGTGCAGATAAATATAAGTACAGATATAGGCGATAACCATATATATATATATAGTCAAACCTGGATAAGCGAGAGTTCAAGGGCGCACAATCTCATTGTCGCTTATAGAGGTTTCTCACTAACCCGAGTTTCTCGCTAATGCAGGTACATGGGTAACGTTTCTCTCTTATAGAAGTACGCAGCAATAACAAGTCACAGCAAGTAAGAATAATTATAAATATGTAATATGATAAAATTAAGTGAATAATATGTACTACATATATTATGTACGTATATATTTTTAACAGTGTGTATATGTTACGTTCATTAGATTTCGACATATAAGTACTTTATAAGGGTAGGTATAGTAAGTCCGACAAACAGGACGGTACACAGGCACACGTGTCCATTCGAAAAGAATGAGATAAAATAACAACGTTATTTAGTTCCACGAAATAGAACAGGTACAATATTGACGAGAAAACAAAATACAATACAAAAACAATGGTAGAAAGTTCCACAAAAGTTAAGAATGGGCCATAAAATAGCAGATGTTAAATTTGTAATTTGTTTTGTCATTTGTTACTGTATGTGCATATCTTTTTTGTATGTACGTTTTTTATTGTGGCTATAGTTCCTCCTAAATAATATAAATAAATAAAGCTTGACACGGAGCACTTACGGACATCCATGAGGGAAAAACGACTCTCTCTTACAGAGGTTTCTGTTTCTCGCTAATAGAGGTTTTGGGAGCTTAAAATGACGAGTCCTGACTAATAATCCTCATAGAGTTTTCTCACTCATCCATCTCTCACTTACCCAGGTTTGACTATATATATATATATATATATATATATATATATATATATTGTCGCCATCTTTTTTACAAAAAGAATACATATATATATATATATATATATATATATATATATATATATATATATATATAAAATGTGTATATAAATGTGGAATGTAATAAATTGATAGGTTTGATTTAATTCAAAGATATTTTTTCTTTATAGAGAAAATAAAAAAATATTTACTATTAATATGTGTTTTTAATAAATAATATTCTCCCACACTTTACATTGTCGTTTGTATCAACGTCTACGACAGTTTTAAAAGTTCAAATAGTTTTGTAAAAAAACGGTATATCCATATTTTGTCCACATTTTTATAAATTTCTATTTCAGGAAACAGAATATCGATGTATGAAATCATTGACACTTTCGCGTTGAATTTCCATGCATTGTTAACATCGATAAATATTTATCATCTCCAGGCTGCCACTCCATTTATTTATATCCTAAAACCAATACTGTAATTTTTTTACACCTTGTTGAATAAAGTTAAATCGTAAATGAAGCCGAGTTCGAAATTTAAATTAAACATGAACTCCTGTTTGATTTTTAAATCCGGCCAGCTTACCGGCTCGTAGCTCCGGTATCTAGCTAACCTAGTTGAATACGTATTCAAGCCTTGGTTATTCGGTTTTTGGCTTGAGAGATTTTTCCTTTTGCGTATCGTGCTGTTCTGTCATCGTTTTGCGAATCCTGTATCGTTATTTATTGTTAAACAACCTTATTTAATTTCCACTCGGTAAAATAACTGGTTACGGTTTGAGAGTTAACGCCTGCAGTGGAATAAGTTTTAGATATGTAACGATATTAGAGGTGCATATTTACGTTGTAAAACAGTTTTCTTGTTGGGAATTTAAACATGGTTACTCCTGTTTGAATCCATGGCACATGTAACCGCAAACTAAACGAAAGTCAAATTTCTGCGTCCTGTTTTAACACATCTAAAGTAAAAGTAAAGTAACAGCCTATATACGTCCCACTGCTGGGCTCAGGCCTCCCCCTCATTTCTGAGAGGGTTTAGGGCAAGGAAGTGTCCGCCGCGCTGCCCAAATGTGTGTTGACGAACTTCACATGTCTTCGAAATATTTTTTTTCTTATTCCTCAGACATGCAGGTTTCCTCCCGCCGAGCACGTGGTAAATCAGCACTTTAAATTGCAATTAACAATTTCATTGGTGCCGGCGGGGATCGAACCCGGGTTACTCGCGTTCTGTTATATTTACAGCGAGCGTTAACCACTGAGCTACCACGGCTCTCGGCTTTAACACATGAGGAGTTCATATTTGTTTTTTTTTGTTTGTAAATAAACAAAAACCCGTCTTCGAACCATGGGTTCGGAATTACTGAATGTTTTTACTGGTGTATATTGTATTTTTATGTATTTTTTTTTACTTTAATAGTCGCGAGAAACAAAATTAGGTCTTTTATTTATTATCTTAAGTCAATTGATAGAGGTAAGCTGCCGATTATTATGCCAGCATGAATGCATCGGCCTGAACAAGGAAGGAACACGTTAATTCATTTCAGCTTATCAAAAGTCTACTGCATAATATAAGCCTCTCCCATAAATTTTTCCTTACTGCCAACTGCAAAGTGTGATAACTATTATTAATATCCCTATATGTCCCCCTTTTTTTTCAAATTTATATGGGACTACCCCTGAAATATAACTGATGAAATAAATATGATTGTTAATAAAAATTCATGGAGCAATTATGAACCAATACTATTGTATATTTTCATACAAAATCATACAAAAAGCAAGAAATAGTCGAACTGAGAATCGTTCTGTTCTTTTTGGAGTTGTCTAGTACATCATTTCTGCCTATGAATGCCTTGTGAGGATGATACATAAATCCGTTACCGTTACTGTTACAATCTATTAAGCCCACTGGTGTACTTAGGCTTCACCCATTTTCTCATAGAGGAGATATTGGCCATAGTGGCAATGCATGGCAAGCGGATTGGTGACCACAGTTCTTATTGTAAGTCGTTAATAGAAAAACGCTCCTGCCCAATCTACTAGATTTTTGCCTCTTTCGTCTCTTACGACACCCACGGAATAATATGTGGTAGTGGGTATTCTTACAACGCCACTGCAAATTTAAGATACATACATAGAGTAACATTTAAGAAACCTAGGACATATATAATGCTGAAGCGCCAATTTACACAAAGGAGGAACTAAGTCACAGCTCAAATCCACCTTGAAGAAACATTATCTGTTGTTGTGTCCATAGTGGTGAATGTTGCTTTAATTATTTTTGTGTTAATTTTAAGTATTTATAAGTACCAGATATTGTTATTAAGAAGTGTGAAACGATAAATTGTTGCGTTGCCGACAAACTGGATTTTGGCAAAATTTTAAATGTTAATAATGTACGATCTTTATAAGAATAAATTAAAAAAAGATCAAGTTCTAGTCGTGATGGGTTGTAGTTATAACCTAGAATAGATTTTCTTCTTCATCATCATTATCTCTTATACTTCCTCTTTGGGATGCACCCATACCCGTTACAGAGAGGTTTTACTGTTTGCTTCGCTCACAATCACAGTACCAGACGTATGGGAATTTTACACCTTGCGCAACGAGATGTTATACCATCTATTGGAAGCTGAAGGATCTTTCTAGAATATTCTATAGTCGCTTGTTACGATTCTCTTATGCCGCCACCTTCACGGAAATATGAAGGCTACTCCATTCTAAAAATATTTGGTTTTCTCTAAGTAAAGTTCATAAAATGAAGAGTATTGACAAAAAGTATCGTCATCATCATTATTACAGTTTATCACTAGTTTACTTTTTAACATAAACCTAGCCCCGCAAGTTCTGCCTTCATGTCATGCGAGGGCCCAAACTGCACTTCGCTCTCCGGTAATATGATGCTAATAAAGAACAGTTCTTCCAAATAAAAAAGTATATATACTTAGTCTCAACGGATTTCAATATTTTTCGAAATTACTTAAATCGAAGGCAAAATACTAACCTATAATAAGAACGATTCAATAATATTATTTAAATTCATTAAACCCAACCAAGTAATTCAAATGATTTTTGATCGATTCAACTGATCTTGGAATTACTTCAAGAGACGTGCGAATTTTCTACGTTAATTTTATAGATTTCTAACCATGTTCAGTATGAAACTGACCGGCATTGGTATAGACAGAACCAATAAGAAGCTTTTTAAAAATTTATTCATTTTATAGTATATGGACTCGGTAGATGGCACTGTTGTCAAGTTCCAGAAATCACCTGTACGAAGCCGGGGCGGAACACTGCTATTTTTATATTAAGTTAAAGTAATAGCAATCATAATACAAAAACAAATGGGTGATTTAAAGTGTATATGACTTTAACAGCTCATGTATCCATTAATTGTCTGTCAAGCTGTCATGACGATATATTTATAAATTAATTTATAAAATTGGTTTATATTTATAAAATTATTAGTTGTTGATTGGAATTAGTGTCGGATAAGACACACGATACGGATCGCTCTCAGTGATTTATTTTCTTATCTGCATAACTGTGTTCCTAGAGATATGAAAATATCTTTATAATGGACTTTATGTTGTGAGACATGTATGTAATATACAGGAAAGTACGATAATTGTGCAATTTGGACGTATTTATGGATTATTTGTGAGACAATTATGCAGTGCAGTGACTTTGCGTGATAAATAATAAGTGGGTAGCGCGAAGTGCCGAGCTGTCTATCAAGCTCTTTCAGTCGCGCGCGAACTGACTATATATATATATTCCTGTTACACAGCATTTTCATTGCGATTTGATCAATATGAACTGTTTTGTTTGTAATAAAAAAGTTGATATCAATGAACTGATAAAATGCAAGAGTTGCAAAGCGGCCTTTTATCATAAATGCGTAAATATTACTTCTACTGCATTTAGGGACGGGCAACAGCCGGGAAGACGGGAAACGCACTTTTATGTGCAGTTCTTGTTCCAATGTAACTCAGCGCATACGAGTAACGGATGATACCCCAGTTCGTGACTCTGATGTACAACTGAGGGACAAAGATTTATCCAACTTATCCTTCGAAGAAAGCACTCCTTTAAACAAAAAAGGATCTTTGACATCTGAAGGGATGATCAACTTTGCAGATTTATTGGATAAAGTAAATAGTGTGATTGTTGAAAAGTTGAGTAGTTTTGAGACCAAAATTTTAAGCGAAATTAAAGCTTCTGTTACAGTGCTAGCACAGGAAAATAGTAAACTAAGGCAATATCTAAGTGAAGCTAATAAAAAATGCAGTTTATTAGAGCAACAGATTTCAATTTTGAAAAATGGAAAAAATATGGAGCCTAATGTTGAAGAAAATCGACATAGTCGAAGAAAAGCAACGGTGTCAAAATTGGAGTCTGATACTACTCCAAGCTTGTCGCTGGCACCGGTAGCGGCGGAGCGGCCGGCGCAGCCCGCGCTCGATCGTTCTGCGCCCTCTGGCCCCGAGCTGAGAGAGACGTCGGCGGCGGCAAGCTCGTCGTCGGCCAGTAAGGCAGCGAAACCGACAGCCAGCGATACCAATACCAACACATGGACTGAAGTTAAAGGGAATAAAAAGGTCAGACCAGTACGTAACGTAAGAAGTTTTCACATGTCTGGAGATTGGATATGGGCACGACCGAGAATAATCTTCAGAATCATATTAAAAACATCCTAGTAAACGACACTGAAATTATTATTGAAAAATTAAAACATAGAACTGAGCGAGATTACTCATCCTTTAGGATCGGCGTTACAGAGAGCAATTTTAATAAACTATGTGTTCCGGAGGTATTGCCTGTGAATGTAGAATTTAGCGAGTGGGTTTGGTTTCGTCGCCCAACAAGATCAAACAGGCTCAGCAATAATAGTAAGTTCAGTATCCTATATCAAAACGTCAGAGGTCTAAGAACGAAGACCACTGAATTCTTATCATTTCTGGAATCATTTGAAGCTGACTTATTCGCGATAACTGAAACTGGGCTCAATGAAGCCATACATAGCACGGAATTTGTGCTCCCCGGATACCATGTACTTAGATGCGACCGAACAGATGGCCGTAAGCAGGGCGTATGTCTAGTGACCACACCGGGTTTCGAGTTACGAAAAATATCACTACCGAATAATGTAAGCATAGACGTTCATAAATTTGAATTGATTTGCGCTACTGTTTATGTATAAAACAGGTTTTTATTTGCATGTTGTATACTATACATTCCACCTCAGACTGAAGAAAATGAATATCTCCTTATGTTTCATATATTGGAGGAATTATGTATTAAGTTTAAAGGGAATATGTTATTATTGGGAGATTTTAATTTATGCTCTTGTAATAGTAATATATGCAATTATTTTTGAATACTTTATGTCATTCTGTGAGCTCACTCAGTACAACTCGGTACCGAACTGTAAGGGCAGACCGCTGGATCTGGTGTTGAGCGCGCGCAGCGATGTGCGCGTGACGGGAGCTGACGAGGCGCTGCAACCCGTGGACGCGTACCATCCGCCGCTCGCCATGATAGTGGGTGACGCGACAGCCCGCGCCCCACTGCCGTCGTCCGCCTCCGCGCCTGCGCTCGTGTCCCCCATACCTTGATCATCACACGTACCAATGCACTCTCAAGGCTCAGTAAATAGTAAGCGGTGGAATTTTAATAAAGCCGATTTTAACCAATTGTATCACCTGTTAGCTATGATAAACTGGAGTGAAATGTACACCTTAGATAACTTGGACGAATCATTATGTTTATTTTAAAATAAAATTTACAAGTATTTTAATAAATGCGTCCCTATAAAAAAGAGTAGTTTGATGACGAGCAGATACATATACCCGGTTTGGTATACTGCTGACATTATTAGGTTTATAAAACTAAAGCACAAATTTCACAAACGATTCAAATCGAGCAGTTCTCGCGATATAGGGCTATAGTTAAAACTGAAACTGAGAGAGCACATAACCAGTATAGAGACCGTGTGCAGGGACATTTAACATTGAAGCCTAAAGCCTTTTGGGAGTATATAAGATTGAGGAAAGGTACATCAGGAAGTAGGAAATTATTTAAGGAAGAGAAGGTTTCATCAGATAGTGAGTGCGCTGGAGAATTCGCAAATTTTTTCCAGTCCGTATACAGCCGTGAGACACCTTTGCTAAGCATAGCGGCGGCTGGTGCTGCGCCGGTGGGAGCAACGTCGGGCGCGTGGGCTCAGCTCGGGCGTTTGCGGTCAGCTGATGTTCTGCGTGCACTGTCGCACCTCCCCTCGAAGCGCTCGGTCGGACCAGATGGTATACCAGCCTTCATATTTAGAGACTCTAGGAGTGTGCTAGTGAAACCATTCTTACACATTTTTATTGTATGTATTGAAAGTGCTACGTTTCCTGATCAATGAAAGCTCATAGAGTTGTGCCTGCACCGAAAGGTTGTGGGGGATCGACGCCAAGTGACTACAGACCCGTGGCAGTCTTAAGCACTCCAGCGAAAGTGTTCGAGACGGCCATTCACAACTGTCTGTACCCACAGATTAGTGCACAGTTGTCCGACGCGCAGCACGGCTTCCGCCCTGGGCGGGGAACAACTGGGAACTTACTGTACATCTAGTACCCGCGGTTGATGCTGGACTGCAGGTAGACGTAGCCTACTTTGATTTTAGAAAGGCTTTCGATACGGTTGACAACGATGTGTTAATTTGTAAGTTGGCTTGTGTGGGTTGCACACCTCGCACGCTATCATTTTTCGCCAGTTATCTGCGAGACCGGCATCAGTTTGTCAATTACAATGGGCACTTTTCTCGACCGTACCCTACTAGATCTGGTGTTGGTCAGGGCAGCAATCTAGGACCTTTGCTGTTCATTTTAATGATAAATGATTTGCCAAATGTAGTCAATTTTAGTGCTCCATTATTGTTTGCCGATGATCTAAAATTAGTTTTAGAAATTAGAGATAAATCTGATGCTGTTTTTTACAGCATGATATTGATAAAGTTTTAAGATGAGCATTGATAATAAACTTTTCTTTAATGTCTCTAAATGCTCAGTACTGTCCTTTAGCCGCTCACGCGCTCCAATCCATCACCAATACGTGATGGATGGGAAACTGCTTCATAGAGTTAAGGAGGTTAAAGATCGCGGTGTACGTTTCACTGCAGGCTTAAATTTCGGATTACATGTAAGTAATGTTTGTATAAAGGCATTGATAATGCGTCTTGCAAATAATTTCACAAACGTCAGGGCTCTCAGAGCACTGTATGATGCACTCGTAAGGAGCGACTTAGAGTGTAACGCCGTTATTTGGGCTCCTCATGAAGTCAAATACACATTTATGTTACGGATCCAAAATAAATTTATTAGATTCATGTACTTGAAACTATTTGGAATATACCCGGGCATCCCTTTTTGTATACTACTCTATTTTTTTTGCTTGGTATGGTAGGATACTACAAGTTCCAAGTCAGAAGAGAAGTAGCTCTCGCAATGTACGTGTTGAAGGTAATGAGAGGTAGAATACACAACCCGAGAGTGCTGGAGATGGTGCGACTCAATGCGCCGGATGGGTGCGCGGGGCGTCGGCGGCTGCCGCCATTGCTGGCGGTGCAGCGCGCGCACCGCACTGATGCAGCAGGCGCCGCTCGCGCGCGCGCTGCGTGTGATCAACGCCATATCGGAGCAAACTGATTTGTTTTCATGTTCGCTGAGTGAGCTCATTAGAGTGGCATATTATGGTATTGTATCGTTGGCTACACTGTCGAATTAGGGTGCTCATCCTGTAATGTTATTTTTTTATATACATACACCATACACAGCACAGAGTACATTGTATATACACGAAATAGAGACCAAACTTCAAGGCTAAAATTGGAAATGCATCACTAGCGCCCCTAGACTTTGAAGTTGGTACTAATGTCATCGACTATATAACCTAATAGCTACCTACTGTATATGTATGTTTATAATATGTATGTATACGTAGCTGCTATATATTACTATTCCAACTTTTCCTTTATGATTTGGTTTAATAATTTCGTAAATAAAACAAACAACATTCAATTTAAAATATTTTATTTTTTTCTATAGTGCTCACAAATTTTTTTTGCTTTGATTTGAAATTTATCATTCATATCGTTTACTTTTGATTTACCTGTCATAATTTTATTTATATTTTTACAATAATTAAAAATCATGAATCTTAATATTAAATTTATTATAAAGTTGACATTTCTTTGTTTGTGTTCTATGCAATGGGAGAACAATTCAAAATCTACTATAAAAATTATACAGCGCCATCTAGCGAAGACTTAAAATATTTGCAGCACTACCATTGCCCTCTGAACATGAGAGTTTGAATTACTAATTTTAGTATGCTATTCATTTCTCTATTTTTTGTATTAAGATTACGCACCCTGATACACAGTCATGTGTATGGTGTATGTGTTCGTTTACTAACGAACTTACACCATACACATAACGGAAATAGGATACGTAATTGAAACAACCAGTACGTTGCCAACACAAATGAGCTAATTTATTGAAAAATTTTTTTGCACCTTATAAAATTACAAATAATCTCAACATCGAGATTCAGTTATTTCAATTTTTATTATGGCGACATCTAGTGACAAGTTAAATGGTTATATACAGGAGCAAAGAGATTACGAAATACAGTAAATCGATTAGTACAACGACATCTGGTAACAAGCAAATAGTTATACAAGAGCAAAGGATTATGAAAGACAGTAGTCTATTAGTAGTACGACATCTGTTGACCAAAAAACAGTTAAACATTCCGCCCGCCATGTACAGAATGTACATAACAATAATCAAGACGGTTTATATAACTACACAATAAACCTTTAATAACTATCTTACAAGTTATGAAAAAATATAACAAAGAATTTTTTTGACACAACGTTAAAATACCTACAGTTACTACATGGATATTAACGAAAAATTAAACAACAAAAAAAAAACAATGAATTGAAAGTGCAAAAAACTTATTTAGTTACAGGCAGTATAAATAATTTTGAGACAGGCATCGATCACTAATAAAAACTAGATACACAATCAGTGACAAAAAACGACCTCACCGAATGAGCACCCATTCGAACATTTGGGTGCGCTTTTAATCTAGTTACATTCGAACGTTACGACGGTAAACATGCCTCCGTGCTCGTTTAAAAAGTGTAAAAATCACACATCCAGGACGCTAAAAAAGGATGGAATTTCCTAATTTCGGTACGTATTAATATTATCATTATTTAATTCTTATCACTGTGTTGTAAATACTTATAATTTGTCAAGAAATCTCCGTAAAACATTTTTTAAATTAATTGTTAATAAAATAAGTCATAATTGTTCGAGGTATGTGCGTTGACTCTGTTCCATTTGTTGGAGACGTTGTTATTTCTTCATTATTAAAGTATGATTGTTTTTTTTTTTCATTTAATGAGACTTCTATAGTTTCTCTAAATATTATAGTAACATTTTATAGACTTAATTTTGAATATGTGCATGTAGTAATATTAAAGATGTGAGATTTTATTTTAAATTTTTCAGCTTTCCTCGAGATCCAGTTAGGTGTGCAGAATGGATATCAGTCATAGCATGTCAAAGGTCCGAAGAATTCTTCAAGCCGACCCAAGGAAGCGTTGTAAGTCGCGTATGTTTGAAATTTGAATCATGTTTTAGAAAGTGATGAATATGTGACTACGATTTACAACTTTCTGTTTACATTCTTTTTATATTCAGTAACTATTGAATTAAGATTTAAGTTCTTTTTCAAGCAATATTTTTAAATTATTGACACAAGATGAAGAATAAATACATAATTATGACTTTTTCAAGTACTTTCGTTACTAAATGAATGTGGTTTCCTATCCAAAAACGTATTTATATTCAGGTAAATTATAATCATTACATATAATACACTATAGAAAAGAATAGAATATGTTTTATGTACACCAGTTTTTAAAACAATTTTGAAACATTTTAAAATTAAAATAACAGTAACAAAAAATATTGGGCAGTTCGACTCCAATGATTCCTTACCCAAGCTACGAGCCTCGGTCATAAAAATTTATTGCTTTTCGTACGTATCTTTGTGAATACAACTATAGGCAATGTATTTAAGGTTGAATTTACATAAATGTATATTCATTTCAACTATAATTACGTCACAACAATTGACGACAGTTTTTAGAGAACTTTTGTATGGGATTGTGTATCTAGTTCTTTATTAGTGATCGATGGAGACAGGTCTTTTAATTTGAATATTCCCACAACGCAAACTAACAACTCGTGTAACACCATCAGTGCCTGTATGTTTCTCAGTTATTATACCATGCAGCCATCTTGAAGGTGGAAGATTGGCCTCCTTGACTAAAACTACGTCACCTAATTGCGGTTCGCAAACATTCTTTCTCCATTTGTGACGTTGGAAAAATTGAGTGAGATACTCATTTGACCAACGCCGCCAAAAATGTTGGACCAATTTTTGGTGAATTGCCATCGCCTCAGACTACTCACATTGGAATTTTCATAATTAGCATCAGGAACTAATAATAAAGATCCACCCAATAAAAAGTGACCAGGGGTCAACGGAAAAG